GACGACGCGAACAAAGCAATTACGACGATGCCGACGCCGAATCAGACGAGGACAACCCAGTTGCGGTGTGGTGCGGCGATGCGGAGTACAAGGGCTTGCCTGATGAACGCCCCGACGCTCCAGTCAATACTGGCAGGAAACACGGTGCTACCACCTTCGCCAAGGCTGGAGGAAAGGGCAAGGAGCGTAACCAGGCTGAGGCGAAGACTCACGACTCCTTGGGGAAAGGCCCAAGCTCGGAATGGTCGACGAAGGAGTCCACCATTCTGGTGGCCGCGTGTTGGGAGCTGAATCAAATGACGGGTAAACAGGCCTCGTAGTATTGGTTACGGCTCGTCGAACACATCAAAGCAGCATACCGACTGGTGCAGGAATGCCACAGCATGCTCCAATCAGTGGAAGCGTCTCAAGGCGCTATGGAAGCAGATTGAAAGGGGGGGATTCCGCCTCGGGGGGCGGCACGGTGATAAAAACCCCGTGGTGGGAGTGGATGGTTTTGTTTTACGAAGACACTGTTGCGGCTGAGCCACACGCGCTGGATGGTGGCAGTATGGTTGACGTAACGATGGACCCTAGTGTGAAGGTTCCCAAGCCTCCTAACACCACTCCCACGCCAACTCCGTCTATCAAATGTCTTGTTTACGGGAAATTGGAACATACATCTCAATTTCACCCCCCTTTCTACTCGTGCCTGAAGTCCGTTATACCCCGCCCAGTGCTTGTCGCCGTATCAACGAGACGGCCACCATGGCTGCCGCACAACTGTTGGCCGAGACTTTCCAGCAGTGCTCTTAGGAAGGCGTATCGCAAATCATCGGCGTGATTCGCGAATGGATGGCGACTCAACAGTCGCAAACAAGCCGTCCGCTCGATTTCGCTTGCAACCGTGCAGAGGAATCGTGGTCGGATACCGAGGTCGGTGTGGCCATAACTGATGTCGTGGAGGTGTGGCATCGCCGCTCCGACGATGCTCAAGGTATTTCTCGTGAAGCGCCACCCCGAGCCGTTTCCGACACTCTTTAAGATCTATCTTGGTTATGGCCAGATCGGCACACCAGTCATATTCTGCTAGTTCTCCTCTCGTCCACCAGGGGTCTTGGTTAATCAACCGTGCTGCCCACGTGTGATTTGTTGTTCTCAACGTCGAACTCGCCATCTTGAGTCCCATGTTGTGCACGATTATCACACAACTGGCGCCGGCAAGGACTCGCCATATCGCACACTCATGTCGTCCTGCGAAGAGGCGGTAGCATCCTTTGTGTTGGCCGATGGTCCGCTCCACCAGCATGCGAGTGGCAGATTGGCAGTAATTGAAGGTTTGCTCCCACTCGAGCATGAGGCGTCCGGTAGGAGCATGCAATGGAGAAAGGCAGTAGCTGCGGAGTGGGTAGGCGGCGTCGCCGAGCAGCTGGTACGGTGCGATATCGCCCCTTTCTAGTCTCTCATAGAAGTTTGACACGACGAACACCCGGTGGTCATGCGCGGTGCCTGGAAAGCCGATTAGATAGTCCCATATTTTCCCTCTTGCATCGCATGTAACTTGTAGCTTCACAACGTATTGTGATCTCCGCATGTAGTGTTCTGCCCCCTGCCCCTCCATTTCGCAAATTTGTACGTGTGTACCGTCAATGGCACCCACCACCATGGGCTAGGGCCTCAGATTCGTTTTTGGCCTGTCTGATTCGTCAAACTTGTCTACAGATTTAGCCTGAAACTCTCAGAGTTGGTGTTAAGAAAAAGCTCAAAATTCCAAGTGTCTTTAAAAAAAAGTCTGAACATTCACAATCAACCTGATTGAGAAGTCTGATTGTGATTTTAGGTGTGTTTTCTGTTGGCCTTGGTTGAACTACATTAGACTGGCCTACAAAGTACAAACATCCTACCTAGTACATTAGACTGGCCTACATTAGACAGTTATAACTACCTTACTACTTCTACATCCTATCTATCTCTAAGTTATCCTAATCATCAAATCCATCATCAACATCATCACCGTCAGATCATCATTCTCATCTCCTGGGTCTACTACTTCCATCACTTCATTTGCCTCCTTGCCCTTGTTCTGTTCCTTTCCTCCAGGCGGGAGTGGAGCGTTGCTGTGGGGCTTGCGCTTCTTGTAGCTCCTCCACACGGTTACGATTTCCTCCCACTTGGGCTTGTAATCTATGAGACTCATGCACATAAGGTCTCCAAGGCGTGCATCCTTCAGCGACCCTCTCTACCATGACTTGATGATGTTCTGCCTCGAGAACCCCCACTCGCACTTCATGGTGCTCAGAGGCAGTACAGCTACCGCCACCCACAAAAGCACGAGGTTGGGGTAGTTGTCCTACTAGTCAGGTGTCTTGAGCATGGCAGTGAGCCCCGCGTGGAAGCTGTGCTCGCTCTTGGTAGATGCTGCAAGCACCGAGGTGAACATACGCAGCTCCTTCTCTGCATGACGCTCGTTGATTCCTGGCGGGGTAGGGAAAAGTATAACAAAAGAACAAACTGAGAATGCAAATACAAACATACATTGAAGCGTCGCACGTAATACAAACTGAGCAATGATGCAGCATGATCTATATACCACATAACATTTGGCTTACCTGGCCTCTTCCATCGGGTCGGCCTTGAACAGTGTCACAAACGACTGGAGCCACTGAAGGCACCTGCGGTTCCTCTCTCCTCGATCCAGCGGGTACTTGTCGCGGATGAAAAACTTTGCCCCAGACATCCCATCCAGGTCGCCAAGCCGATGTTCCAGTTGGTGGAGGATCACCTGGGCGAACTCCGTGCAGACGTCCACGCAGCCATCGTGGGTCCTGGGCCCTTCGAACTCCTCCAGCTCGTCCTCATGCAGCCTGAATGTGAAGCGTGCAGGTTGGCCGTCCGAGTCAACCCCTTCGACTTTCACCTCCCGGGTTACTCCTAGCCCATGGCGCGCGATGAAGGGGGACAGCAGCTTGCTGACGCCGCCACCGAAGTCATCGCCGCAATCGACGTAGCGGCTCTCGATGTGGGACATTGTGCGCTTGATCTGCGCATGCACGCTGGCATAGTCAAGCCGGACATAAACAATAGGGAAGGTAGTTAGTGGCTGGTGACGGTAAACATGCAGGATTATAGCAAAATGACCACTATAACAAAACAACGATGATAGAAATCCATTAGCAGAAAGCTCACCTCCTTGTGCTGGAACGCCCTGTTCTGGATGTTGAGCTGCTCAAGCACATCAGCAATGAAAAAGAGGAAATGCAATCTGCAACTTGTCACGAGGGCATACAGCTCTGCGTCCCACTCCTTCAGCATCACGATGAGAGCCAGAAGCACGGCGACAAGCCTGAGCACTGCGTCGCCCCGCGACAGCCAACGTACGACATGAATGCCTTGCAGCTCAAGAAAAGTGGACGCGAAAACTTCCTGGAGGCCCATGAAGCGCTGGTGCCATGGCCCCGACGGGCCGAGATGTTCTGGCACGGTGCGAATTGCCGTGTCAATCACGTTGAAGGCAGGAATCTTCTCTACGACTGTTTTAGCCACTAGTGCCTCCCTGTAGGACAAGGCATAAACATCAGTACATCGAGAAAGTCAACATCCGGAAAAAAGGCACGGCATGATTATGCACAAGCACTGACATACCTATGCGCGATGCATTGGGATGACACCAAATGGGGGATGCGCAGGCAGAGGCGTGTCGTGAGGCCAGACTTGCTGCCCATCATGACGTTGGCACCGTCAGTGCTGATGCCTGCAATGCGCTGAAGGTCGATCCCGACTGCCTACAGGTGTGACAAAAGATCGCTCGGAAGAGAAACTGCGTCGGCCTTCTCCACGGTGAGTAACGACATGAACCCCGTGACGAGCTTGTTGTCACGGATGAAGGTGATGAAGAGGATCAGGTGCTTCCCGCTGCACCTATCCGTGCTCTCGTCAATCGAGATGCCGACGAAGGGCGATGCTAGCTGGGTTATCTGGAGCCATGTCGCAGTCGCTTGCGTCAACTCCCCGAAGGCGCATATGCACATGGTGAGTAAATCACATTGCGTCAACAATAGTGAGTAAATCATTATAGGGAATAACATTGAAACACTGTTCTATACTATGTAGATTATGGCAATTGCACTCATGTGGTGTAGTAGGTGCCGTACCCCTTCTTCGGGAAGCCAGGCACACCCTTCTCTGCCAGGTAACGCACCAGCTTCACCCACATCCCCATGGGCGCGTCGGACCTGCTGATAAACAGTAACGAGTCGAGAAGGGCGATGAGGCGCAGCTGCTCTCCGTCAACCGTGGCGCGATGTTGGTCGATCTACGGCTGCCTCGCACCGGACTCGTGCATAGCTGTGAATCTCGCCATCGCCAGCTTGTGCTTCGCCGTGCCAGCGTGCTTACGAAACGACCAGGTCTGCAAGTCCGTGGCGCCTTTCTCGCCCCTCCCGCACTTGCCTGCATCGCCAGCATGAGCTGCACAAACAATACACTTGAACGCTGGCAACCCCGAGGAGGTTTTAATGATTTGAAGCCAGAGGAAATGTGCTTGCCACTGACTATTGTACTTGTCAATCGCGTCATCGTACAGTCCTCTAATCAGCTCGGCCAGGTTTACGGTGAGGCGAGGACGCGGGCACTCAGAGGAGCCGGGAGAGTTTTTGACGTCGGTAGGCGACAATGAAGGCTTGGCGAAGCTCAAGGTCGCCTGCTTGAGCTGGATGGTGCACACCGTGGTCTGAGTGGGATGGTGCGAGGCCGAAGCGACAGTTGGTTCCGCAGTTGTCTCTGCCAAAGGGTCGGCGGGTGATAAAGGTTCCTTCCGGGTAGGGATAGTATCGGGCTCGGCGCGTGCTTCCTTCTTGAGTGCTAGATGACTGAGCAAGAAATCTAAGCTTGTTTAGGCACGCTGTAAATCAGGGTCGTCATCGCTGGTGGCGGGATTGTCAGGCTGAGCCATGGCGGGGATCTGAGAGAGCCTGTTGAGCAGGTACGAGAGGTGGTTTTGAGGTTGCTGAATTGAGCACTGGATGGGCCCAGTGAGTTGAAATTGAGGGGTGTGGATGAAACCCTAGCTCATAGAGGATGGCCCTATAACCCACTATGGGCCATCCTTGAGTTGGGTGGGTGGTTGCCTAGCATGCACGGCAAGGACGAGGCGAGTCTGCTGTGCAATGCTGCGAGGAGTGTTTTGTGTGTGTCTGTTGCAGCATCGTGGTACACGATGCTGCCAAAAGGACAAATCAATGCTCAGGGTGTCTGCCAACAGGTCCTGTTGGCACCGACTACTTGCCATCACCTTTACGTGGGTGGCAATTGCAGCATCTTGGACACTGGTGGTGGTGGAGTCCGTGATGGTAAGCAAAAGCTGCCAAACGGACCAATCAGTGCTCTAACAGGGTGTGAGTTGGAGCATACAAGGGAAACATCGCGCGGCAGGGCGGCGTCGCCCACTGAACTTGTCATTTGTCACAGATTTCACGTGATTGACGGAACAGGTACATGTACCACCGCTAATCCTGGGTGTCGGCGCCCAGGTACATTCAATTAGAGCCGGTACTTGTTTGTACTTGGTGAGAGTTGGCAATTGTGTTTCCCAGGTGGAGATATCTCGACTACTCGGCCCGCGCTATGCTTACGTAGTGCGTTTTTTATGTTCATCGGGGCGCCTATTTATGCTAGGTCGCAACACGCCACATCAGAGTTGTACTTGAGTCACACATGTGGATTAACTGGCAATTTTTTCTGATATGAGGTTTTAGCGAGGCTACCTATTTACAGGCGAGAGCACCAATCTTGATACGAGGTGGCCTTGATATGAGGCCATAGGAATACGCTCTTTCGCGCAAGGTTGCAATGCTGTCACTAGAGGAGGAGTTGTCGTGACTTCACCAAAACTCACATGTGCAAAAACCAGCATACACACAGGCAAAATCCAGCACACACATTGGCAAAATCCAGTGCACACACAGGTAAAATACAGTGCACACACAGGCAAAATCCAGCGCACATAAATAAGCACACACAAATGAGAGTCGAAGACCGTAAAGGTCGTCCGACGAGCTGGCAGCGCTGCGAGAATATAGTTTCCTTGGACTTGACAGAATTGAGTGTCAGAATTAAAAGTAAAAAACAAAAAAAAAAAAAAACAACACCAACAACAACAACAACAACAACAACAACAACAACAACAACAACAACAACAACAACAACAACAACAACAACAACAACAACAACAACAACAACAACAACAACAACAAAAACAACAACAACAACAACAACAACAACAACAACATGACGGACGAGAACGATTGAGATAGGGAGCAGAAGGGCGTTGGGATGGTTGATTGGTCGACAGCGAAGGCGAAGAGGTAGGGACTGGCGACAAGGGGGGCGACAGGAAGGGAGGGGAGAGGAGGAACGATGGAATGGGAATGGAGAGAGGAGGAACGATGGGATGGTAAGGGAGAGAGGAGGAACGACGGAATAGGAAGGGAGAGAGGAGGAACGACGGGATGGGAAGGGAGAGAAGCAAAACGACGAGATGGGAAGGGAGAGAGGAGGATCAACGGAATGGGAAGGGAGAAAGGCGGAACAACGGGATGGGAAGGGAGAGAGATGGAACGACGGAATGGGAAGGGAGAGAGGCGGATCGACGGGATGGGAAGGGAGAGGGGAGGAACGACGGATGGGAAGGGAGAGAGGCGGAACGACGGGATGGGAAGGGAGAGAGGCGGAACGACGGGATGGGAAGGGAGAGAGGAGGAATGACGGGATGTGAAGGGAGAGGGGCGGAACGACGGGATGGGAAGGGAGAGAGGCGAAACGACGGGATGGGAAGGGAGAGAGGAGGAACGACAGGATGGGAAGGAGGAGAGGCGGATCGACGGGATGGGAAGGGAGAGAGGCGGATCGATGGGATGGGAAGGGAGAGAGGCGGATCGATGGGATGGGAAGGGGAATACTAGGGGGAAGGGATGAGAGATGGCATGGGCGAGGGGACAGTAGGACGGGAGGGCGACGAGATGGGTGATAAGAGGGGGAGGAAGGGCGATTAGATGTGAGCGCGAGGGCAACCTGATGGTTTTTGTGAGAAGAAGAGATGTAGAGCGACGGGAGCTCGATTTACCAGGAGATTTTATACAGAACCACGTTTACGACATTACGCACGCGATCTAAGTCGGATCCTACGTGCCTAGGCTTGAAACATCTACTGTAAAAGGACGGAATTCACCATGCGAGATGCATGGGAATTCCCGAACGGGTGGTTGCCTGGCTAGCTCCGAATAGCTACACTTGCTAGCCTAGAGCACACTCCCGTATCCCTCTCAGCAAGACAAGTGCAGCAGGGCATGGCATCGAGGCGCTATGCCAAGATGCCATGCTAGATTGAGTGGCAACACGGTATTTCTATCCGAGTTGCACTTCTCTTCTTGTAGCAGAAATACTACTACTCAGATTCTTCTTGTAAGATCATCATGTAATCCTATCCTTGGATCATTGTATCTTCTTGGAATCTTTCTATCACTCTCCTCTTCTCTTCTAGCTACGGCGCCTCTCCTTAGGCGCTAGGCCGGCCAGGCCAGCCGCGCCGTGCGTCGCTGCGCCATAGCCTTGTTTCATTGGTATCCAAGCTGGTTACGACCTTAAGTTTCTACTCTCCTTCTAAGCTGGCCACTAATCTTTACCACGACTGCTACTCTCGTCGTTAGTAGCTAGCTGCTTCAGTTCGATTTCTACTGCTTCAACTTGTCCCACCTTGGAGCGATTACGAGGGCTTCCTGCAGCTGATGGCGAGGACCTTCTTGCTCCAAATCTGAAGTCGAAATCTACTTTGGTGAAAGCGAAATCTGCTTGGTGAAGGTTCGTGAACCTGTGATTGGGCGAATTTCAGCCAATTAGAAAGTTTGGGAGCAGAGTTTCCAAATTTCGAAGTGACGTTGCTGCTCCAAAAATCTTCTACTGCTACACCACTTCCACCTACACTCGAATTCTGTGAACTGAGGTGAAGTTGGGTAAAAGCGTTTGGAAATCCAATTTCTTGACCTCAAAAGCTTTTGCTGGACATTTCCTTCTTGGTCTTCCAGCCCTAATTTGTGGAACTTCTCGTTGCTTCTATCTAACCTCTACAATCTGATTCCTTTGCTGAAACTGAGAAACAGCTATATCCTTATGTGTTCTTGCTTTTGCTCTAAACTGCTGATAGTGAATAGAGCAATTACAAGCAAGGAAATCATGTGTCTAAATTCTACCCTTCGTCCCTGCTCCTAGTCCAAAGCTGTGTAACATATAAAGAGCTGAGGCACCTTGTTTCACTATCTAGTGAAACCACAAGGCTAGCTTGGCTAGGTAGTAGCTTGTAACTCCTTTTCTAAATTTCTCCTAGGCATATAAGGCGGTATTGCTGGACGTGCTGAAGGTACCAGCGTTGAGGCAGCTTGATAAGGGCAATTGTGTACAATGAGAACAGGGCCCAAAATAGGTTTTGGCCCACTCTTCCAAATCAGGGTGGCAGGCCCCCCGTACCCTGACTGGTAGGGTAATTTTTCTCGTACACTGATTGTAGCAGCCTAAAAATTTTGGTACACTGATGACAGCAGGGTAATATATCCCATACACTATTTCCTACGCACAAATATTTACTACACCAACAGTTAGGGTACTACTCACTAGAATGTCCTGCACACAAACGAGAGAAAAGTGAGAGAATGGCGAGAGTCTGAGAGACCCCTTGGGAATCACAAAGCCCAAGGGGCCTCAGGCAGCACGGTTTCCGCGCACCGCGGGAACTGCATGGCAGAGGCTGCAAGACCACAATGACTGCCAGGCCAGGTGGTGCAAACGACAGCACGAAACCCACCTGACGCGCAATTTGGCACCGTTGGCAGACAGCGATGCCATAAAACCGGGTGCGTTGGCTTAGATGTTGCTCAACGGACCAATCGTAGGCGTGCGCGTGCATCCGCACTGCTTCTACATTGGCGCGCCAATGGGTGTACCGAACACATGGTCCAGTGGGACCATGGTGCATTTTGTCTTGGCGCGTACTGTGGCGGCGGAATCCACGGTAAAACAGAGATTCGGTAAAAGGGTAGTTGAGCCCCTACCCTGATGCAGTCAGTGTAACAAGAAATCCTACAAGAGTACTTTAGATCGTATCCTGATTTCAGTAGGGTAAAAATCTCCATACCCTGATTTCAAAAGGGTAACTGCCAAAAAGTGGCCTACCATCAGGGCAAAAAGGGTAAAATACCCTTGAAATTTGGGGCCTGAATGAGAAGTGCCATAGCTGTGCAGGCATAGGCTTGGTTGAGACTGTGCACACAGAATGACTTATGGAGTTTTCCACCCAAAGGATAGAAGCTGCATGTGGACCGCAAGAGCTGTAGTATGGGTTGCAGCTATATGCCGACCTCCTCCTCTGCGTTTCTTCTTGAATCTGTTGAAGCTTGAAGAAGACCAAGAACAAAGAGCAAGCTTATCTTGTAAATGTTTTCTGGTTTAGACCTATGAAGGTTGCATGCTTGCTGTAGTTTCTGCTTTTAGATCAGTGAATAGTTAGTATGGGTAAGCATCATCCCGATGAAACAAGGCTACGGCGCAGCAACGCACGGCGTGGCCGGCCTAGCGCCTAAGAAGAGGTGCTGTAGCTAGAAGAGAAGAGGAGAGTGATAGAAAGATTCCAAGAAGATACAATGATCCAAGGATAGGATTACAGGATGATCCTACAAGAAGAATCTGAATAGTAGTATTTATGCTACAAGAAGTGAAGTGCGACTCGGATAGAAATACCGTGTTGCCACTCAATCTAGCATGGCATCTTGGCATAGCGCCTCGATGCCATGCCCTGCTGTACTTATCTTGCTTAGTGATAAGGGAGTGTGCTCTAGGCTAGCAAGTGTAGCTATTCGGAGCTAGCTAGGCAATCACCCGTTCGGGAATTCCCATGTATCTCGCCTGGTGAATTCCGTCCTGTTACATCTACGCTTTCTCAGCTTTTCTATTAATGCCATGCACCTGGTCCCAACTTGAAGCGAAAGTTGGGCCTGGCGATGGAAACCATCGCAGGCAACGGTCGTGCGAGTGCAACGCGTAAAAATGCGATGGTTGACATGGGCCTGGAAAATCGTTTTGGCGGGAGGGGAATTTTTCAGATTGGTTTGAGCCAATCAGATGAGTTTAATCTGCCTACTCGGTTTGTTTGGAATAGTGTTGTATCTGCCCAACTTATCGCAGCGATTTCAAGCTGGGATGGCCTTTACTATTTTAGATTTAGGCTCTAAATTTCACCGTCGTAATAAGTATAGAAGGGTAAATTTGTCAAATGTGATAGGCAGTAGTGAGGCATGCCATGTGGGGTACAAACATTAGGGTTTGTTATATGTACCCCAACTCACATATTCTAATAACATCGTTCTTTCCCAGCTGCACTAGGCGCTGACCCCACTATTGCAGACAGGGAGTGCTTTGCACGGGAGCGGGCTGCCTTTTCAGCTTGGACGTCTCACGATGCAGCGGCCTGCATCGCCCTCAGCAGCCTCCTCCCTGAGTCCGAGGAGGCGCACTTCACTTAAGTTCGCTCTGCTAGCGAGTTCCTCACTGCGAATGAAGCCTGCTACTCCACTCCCACCACTGTCTCACTTGGTCGCCTGTTCCTCCCGTTCCTGTTTCCTGACCTCGCCTCGTTTGAGCGCTCTGCTGACTTGATTACTCACTTGCGTTCACTAGACTTGAGCTACCACGCTACCTGTACCGACGCACAGCTCGCACTGCTTCCCCTCCCTATGGCGATCACAATATTTTTATCGTCACTAGCCTCCCTGACCGCCTTGCCACTATTCGCGGCGCGCTTTTGCCGAAGCACCCTAATGAGCTCACTATCGACGTCCTTGAGACTGCGCTCAAAGACGTTGCGAGCAACCTTTGCATGGTAGCTTCCGCCTTAGGCACTGTGTCCCCCCTATTGTTTCAGGGGTGCACTGTCCCATAGCTGCCCACCCTTACTGCCTCCCTTGCCTCTACCGCGACCGACGAGACCGTGGCCGCTGCCACGACCTCTGCAAAGTCCAGAGGTAGCGGCGGAGGTGGGGCGGCCAGTGGTGGTGGAGGGATCGGAGGAGCTGGCGATGAGCCTAGTGCACCCACTAGTGGCTCGCGTGCTACAGCTGGTGGAGGTGACACTAGGGGTGGTCAGAGACCTGCAGGGTTGCCAGCAGGAGGCGCAGGAATGGCAGCCTGGTACCTGGCTCACCGGCAGCAGCAGCAGCAGCAGCAGCCCTCGCGCTTGCAACAGCCACTTCAGCAGCAGCAGCAGCAGCAG